TAGTTGTGCATGCACAAGTGAATAAAGGAAAATTTTTTAGTTTAGGTGGAATTTATTAAAACATTAAGTCACTATGCCAACTTAACGGAAGCATCGCCCTGAAACACTGCTTAATCTGCTTGCTCACACACCTCTTATTTGAAAAACATTGTTCTAATAAAAAATAAGCAAAGTGGCCAAGTACTGTCCCCCATTTTGGGGAAGGAGTGTGTTATGAACTGAACCCAGGGCTTCACCAAACTACATCCCCAGACCTATTTTCATTGTTCCATTTCTGGAATGTCACAAACAGTGGAACATGGTATTTTTCCAATTCTTGTGCCTTGAATATTTCTAGGTAACATAAATCTCATGCAAAAAAATTTAAAAATTGCAACCATCACATAAAGGCATTAAAGCCTTAGTTTTGACTAGAACCTCAGTAGAATACAGTATTCCCATGTATGCATCTCTAAAAATGCATTGTTGAACTGGAAATTCCTAAGACCAAGAAGAGCAGCACATTACTGCCAACTTGAAGCACCAGTGTAGTGTGGTACATGGATGACTGTCCCACTGGGTGCTTAAATCACTTTTACTGGTCTTTTTACTAATAAAATTAATAAAAAGCTGCATGATAAGATAGCCAAGCATATGTATCAGTGGTGGTTCAAGCCAGCCCAAGTGAGACATACAAATTACAGCACCATTGTGAATGTGCTAAAAGCTCACCTAGAAGCAGTTTTTGTAATACGTCATAATACTTTGATTTACCTTTATTCAAGAATCAAGATTTAAGATTAAAAGGATTAGCTGAGAATTTTGCTTAGGATTTACATTTTAACTTTAGTTTTCCTAGAAAAATACTCTTTATTCTGGTTCTAGGTTGGGATTCAAGTGAATCAGTTGGTTCCTACTAATCCGAACCCTTCCACATGTTCCAGTCGCGCATTGGCTCAGTCAAGCCACTTTCCTGGTGGGTCACACTCTGTCCATGATCTCCAAGTTCAGAAAGCTAAGAAACCCGCAGAGGAGGACAGCAAGGAAGGTCGGTTGGGGCAAGGGGGTGGGTGTAATTTTCATATGGCATGGCTGGAATAGTGTGTAAAGAGACTTCTATTTTTAATTATGAATCTAGTAAAGCTTTTTACAGTAAGTGTGGACAGAGGGAAGTTGTTCAGGGATTAAAGATTTTCTTTGCTCAGACAAGCTGAAGAGGTTATTTGATGTATTCTTCTATACCTGCAGTATCTCTGGCTGCTGTGGACATGGAAGCATCATCTGCCTCTAGAACTTGTACTTTCTTACCATCCTTTTCTGCACATTTGCCAGCCACTGCCAGTGCTGACACAAATAAGGGCGAGTCTTCGCGGAAATGGAATGGTCTTCATTCTCCTGTCAGCGTGCAGTCAAGACTTAACCTGAGTATAGAGGTCCCATCACCTTCCCAGGTATATTTTTATAGTCTTAAATGTACAAAAGTCTTGTAGTAGAAAAGTGGCTTACAAACAGAAATATTGTATTTTCATTTTATTGGTATAAGCATAGGAGGGAGAAAAGGCCACTTATCAGGGTAGATTGTAATGTTGCTTAATTGTAAGCAAGCAGTAATTGGGTTTAGTTAAAAGTGCTGCTGCCAAGATGTGCAGTTCTTGCCCTGAGTGAGCTCCTGTTGTGAGCTACTGGAGTGCTTGTGGACCTACCTGATGTGGTACTGGACAGCAAAAAACACCGAACCACTAGAATTGGGTATGACTTAACAGCTTCTGTGGTAAAAGGACACTGCCAGAGATGTGCTGCCTTCAGGGAATGGTAGCTCTTCTACCCTGGTGGCCTGGTGTACCTTATGTTCCTTACCTTAAGAGGTTCACTTCCCACAAACCTCCACTCAGAGCACTTTTCACTTTAAGCTCACCATGTTTTTTTGCTATTTTATAGCTTGATCAGTCTGTTTTAGAAGCACTTCCATCTGATCTCCGGGAACAAATAGAACAAGTCTGTGCTGTTCAGCAAGGGGAGCCACGTGGTGACAGAAAGAAAGAACCAGTAAATGGCTGTAATACAGGAATTTTGCCGCAACCAGTTGGGACAGTTTTGTTGCAAATACCAGAACCTCAAGTATCAAACAGTGACACGGGAATAAGTATTATAGCCCTTCCAGCATTTTCACAGGTAAGTTAAACTTAGGAACCTTCTGGCATGAAGTGTTCTTCACCCACAGGCCAGTACTCACTGTATCCCACAGTGAGTGGCAGTGGGTGGCTGGCTCAATGCCCCTGCATGTGTAGGATACAAACTGACCATCTGCCTCATTTGGAAACATCAAGTTGGTAACTGTGCAGAAGACAGGAAATCACTGTGCTTCCAGCACTAGCCAGAGCAAGGCTGGGCCACACCTGTGCAACAGGGTAAAGGTGAACATAGTGAAACCTGGTGGACCTGTGGCCTTTTCTTGCATTTGTTCAGTTAATGTTAGCTTTCCCTGATTGTCCTGTCGTAGTTTTATTTTTGAAAATCAATTGGTAACACATTTAATACTTTATTCTCAGCCTGAGGTTTCCCAAGCTTGAGCTTTGATATTAAGGACCCATTAAGAATTTACACTGATCAGAAAATTATGATTTGAAAATTGCCCGGTTTGTGAGAAATGTAAGCTAGCTGGTAGTTAAGAGTAAACTTAAACTTTCATGTTCCCTTTTCCACTAGGTGGACCCTGAGGTGTTTGCTGCCCTTCCTGCTGAGCTGCAAAAGGAGCTGAAAGCAGCATATGATCAAAGACACAGGCAAGGAGAGGAACCCACTCACCAGCAGCCTGCCAGTGCATCCGGTAAGATTGGGAAGTGGCGTGTCCCGGAGGAGTAGAGCAGCAGCATCCCTGTTGTGCTCTTCGTCCTGTCAAGGGCTCTTTGGAGAATATACAGTGAATAAATGGACAGCAGGGCTGAGTCCTAGCATAGTCCTGGTTAGAATGGTACCTGTATGCTGGACTTAAAACACTTCAGTTTGTTTTTAAAAGAATATCAGGAAACTTTGAGCACTTAACAAGCAAATTGATACTGTTAACATGATGCAGGCTTCAAAACAAAAATACAAAGGCTTTGCACTTAGTTTAGAAGGCACTATTCTCTTTTAATCCTTAATGCCCACTCCAGTATAGATAAGCAACAGGAACTGTACAGCCTGCTCTTTCAGCCACTGCTGTGCAGGGCAGAAAAGTGGAAAGAAAACTTGGGTATTGTCCATACTTATTTGTTGGAAGATCTTACATATGTAACCCTCTTTCAGTGCCAAAGAATCCTTCACTTCAGCTAAAGCCAGTAGCAGTGAAAGATAAGAAAAAAAGCAAGAAAAAAACTCCCATCAGTCCGCCCAGAAAGATCCAGAGTTCTCTGAAAAATAAGCTGCTTAACAGTCCTGCAAAAACTCTGCCAGGGGCCTGTGGGAGCCCCCAGAAGTTAATGGATGGGTTTCTAAAACATGGACTTGGTGCTGAGAAACCTCTGGTAATTTTTCTGAAAATTACTTTGAAACTCAAATTAATCAGATCTCAGTGTACCTGGTACTGTGTAAATATAGCACTTTTGTCCTTTGTTTTCTTTAATAGGAAGAACTCTCTGCTTCCACTTCAGGTATGCAAGGCCTGTCTAGTTTACGTCCTGACCAGCACAGCTGTGTTAGACCTGCGGCACCCAATCTAGCTGGAGCTGTTGAATTCAATGATGTGAAGACCTTGCTCCGAGAATGGATAACTACAATCGCAGGTTGGCTTGGCTCTTTATCAGGTGGCCTGATGTGTCCTATGATTTGAGAGCATGAACAGAATAAAGGATACAGATTGAACACAGTTTTCTGATTCTAACATGCTTAAACCAGCTCCCTTCATTCTTTCGAAGTTCTAGGCGTTCCTCCCTGTAGCCTGTTCTTTTGCTTTCTCCTAAGTCAGTGGAACAGCTGTAGAAATGACAGTTCTCCTTTATGCCTGCAGATCTCTGCCTTTCTCCTTCAAAAACATACACTGGTCCTCATTTGAGGTTTTTCCCCTCCATAGATCCAATGGAAGAAGACATTCTGCAAGTTGTGAAATACTGTACTGATCTTATAGAGGAAAAAGATTTGGAAAAGCTGGATTTAGTTATAAAATACATGAAAAGGTGAATCTATTCAGTTCTTTTAAGATGGGAAAAAGGACATGTCAACTTCTAATTAGGGGTACATGGAGCAAGTGTTAAACTTCCAGGCAAACTTTTTTTTTGGGGGGTACTGGGGGTTGAATGCATTGAATGCAGGACCTTAGGCTTGCAAGCAGGCAGCGGAACCAGTGAACTAAACCCTCAGCCCATGGCAAACTTTTTTCAGCATTAAAAAATAACGCTCTCTTGGATCCCATAAGAATGTCACAAATGGTGACAAAGTGCATAGTTCAAAATGAGTTTATTACCTTGCAGGTTTACATCCAGTATGGATTAAGAGCATAGGAAATGTCTTTCCTTTTGAGTGGTTGATCTAGGATTTTACTTTTTGGTCAAAAGCCTTTTACGGATTAAAAAAATAGGCAATGATGAAGAAGATAATGCTTGATTCTAAGGAAGGAATTGGCATTCAAAGACCTTTCCTAATGGTATTTCTTCTCTCCCCACCTTCAGGTTGATGCAGCAGTCGGTGGAATCAGTTTGGAATATGGCATTTGATTTTATTCTTGACAACGTTCAGGTGGTTTTACAACAAACTTATGGAAGCACATTAAAAGTTACATAAACAATGCCAGGGAGCCTGGTGCTCTTGGCTAGCTGTGCCATAAGTGCTTGTGAGGTATTTGCAAAGTGCATGACAGTAATGCTCTGTTTTTATAATTTTAAATTTCTTTTTAAGCAAGCGTTTTGTACATTTGTTTTCAAAAAGTGCCAAATTTGTCAGTATTGCATGTAAATAATGTGTTCTTTTACTGTAGTATAGATTCTATTTACAAAATGTTTGTTTATAAAGTTTTATGGATTTTTACAGTGAAGTGTTTACAGTTTAATAAAGAACTGTATGTATATTTTGTACAGGTTCCTTTTTGTGAATCTTTAAAAACTCTAGAAAGCACCTAGTATCTGTTATACTTAAAAGGCTGAAAACTCACCAGGCCAGTCAGAGGCTGAAATTCCTGAGAGGTTAATACACTTAATTCATACTAGAATATACTTCAAATTTTTTTTTTCCTTAAACACCCAAGTGACCTAAACTCTTATTATACCATCTGTCAAGTTTCTTAAACTGGAAGAGTGTATACTGACATGGACCCAAATTGCTCAGGGAAGTCCTAATTAGCTATAGTTAATTTCCTACTTGTTGGCCCTTGTACCTTTATGAGGAAATGTGCATAGAACAAAACAGGCAAAAATGTAAAGTATCAAAAATCCCTCCTGTTGACCCTTATCTGAGAAGCTACACTGACACTGACATGGAAACCTAGCAGCGCTTTCTGGTATTGCAATGTCTGTTTCCTTTATTGGTACTTCAGAATTGTGAGGGTTACAATGGACTCTCATGACTATACAAGCAGTAAAAAGCAGCCAGCTATGCTTTACACCATGGTTTCACACAAAGCAGATAAATATTAGAATGCCTAATTTTCTATTTAAAAAACTCCTAGGGGCATATGGCAGAATACTGGAAAAATCAATGTGGGAGGAATATGCATAAAGATATGTTCCTTACATCAAAAAAGTCCCAAGAATCACAAAATCTGCAGAAGCTTGGATAATCAAATACTGCAGGACTGATTTAATCAGTATAAAATTGAAAGAGCTTTAGATCTGTAATAAAAATCCAAATTTGGGAAGGGCAAACTTTAAAACAGCAGCCAAGTAGGGAAAGAAGGGTGGGGCAAGAGGAGAACAGGCACGCTGGAACTGGAGGTGGGTAACTGACCACTGTCAAACCAGTGTAAGTTTCTTGGTTTCTCATGGAAAACATTTTATACACCTAAATCCATCACTGTCCAGAAACGTCTGTTCCAATTTTTGTCTTTTCTATTACAATATAATATTGCATTATTTCAATTCCTGCTCCATGTGGAAAAATTAAATGATTTCAAACACTTTCTTCAGCTCCACAATAAGCTGCCAGTCACTCTTCTGCATTTCATCTCGGAACCAGTCTTTGAGGGCATCAATGGACTGCCGGCTGATCTGCAATGCCCAAGGCACAAATAAGGTAAACAGAATGAACAAACATAGGCCTCAGAGAGGTTAAGCAGAAAAAAAGGAACCAAGTCCACCACCAAAAGGCATGGATCTGATACCCTGCCACTGTCAGTGCTGCTCTGCCCAGGGACTCCATCCACACCCACAATGAGATCTACTGCAGACAAGACCTGGGGATGAGCCTAGGGAACTTGGGTCTACAGGGCCAGATGAGCTACATAGAGTAACCAAAGTGAAGCAGCTCCAAATCCCTGTTCACACTTACCTTACTGACTAGAATGTCTGTAGCTTCAAAATGTCTCCCAAACATCTTGGGAGACTCTCCAGGGATAGGTTCTATTTTGACACAAACTTCTTGTCCTTTTTTCGCAACATCCACTTGTTTATGGTTTATTTCAATACTTGTTACTATTCCAATGTCAACAAACTGTAAATAAGACCACAAGTACAATATATATAGAGGAGTCCTGCCCTGCACGGGCACAATACAGCTCCACTAACAACCTCAGCCCAAGAACCTGCTATAAAGTCTTGTGCTTTGCCCTGGATTCATCACTGAAAGTCTCCACCACAGGATGCCCTGGCACCCACCTCTACCCCTGCCCTCACAAGATGACTGATGTGCCATGTGCAACTTGTGCTCCTTGGACCCACTGTCATTTCCAATTCCTGCTATACCCTCTCACAGGACAGCTGCCCTATTAGGAGTGAACCGAGGTTCTGAGTCGGGAATGAGCTCAAAGCAATCAAAGGAAGTTAGGGACTCAGCATACAGATTAAAAAATTGTAAGTTATGAGCAGTGACACAATCCTGGAGTACACTGGGTGAGGGGATCCTGGCTGCCTTGAGAAAGAGGTACAAGAGAGATCAAAACAGTTCAGTTTGGTAGAGGAGGCCAAAGCTGCAAAGGAAATAACTGCCACAGAGAATGTCCTAGCTTAGGCCACTGAAATAGAAGATACTGAGTGCCATCCCACCAAAGGATCCAGGTCTGTGGAGGCAAAAGACTAGGTGAGCCTGGAGTAGCTCACTACCTCCAGAAGGTAAGGCGGGTGGCAGGGGTTCCCCATGGTCAAACTGGGTAAGCAATATGAGGAAGACTATAAAATAGTAACATTTGCCTACAGGATGCTTCACGAATGGAGGAAGGAGGGGAGGGTACCACAGTTCTGCAACTGGGTACTGACCAACTCAATATGGACTACCAGTGGATAGGTACTAGCCACTGGGATGAAGGTGGGGTAAGAAAGAATGTTCAGGGGGACACTGAGTGCTGCATCAGCACATACAGGCACCTGTGTGAACCAGGGGGCACCAAGAGGCCCCTGGAAGGTTCCTTCCTGTAATTTCAACCTGTATCTAGTGCGGAGGGGCAGACAAACCCAAATGCAGGGATAAACTGCAAATGGCAGGCTACACTTCAAAACATGGGGACCCTTTGTGGACTCGGGGAAAAAGCACAATGTGGTACACTGCTGAGCGTGGCCTCTGGGACACAGAGAAACTGGCGTGCAGTCCTAGTATCACTGATGTTCTACTGATTTTACTTAGGAATGCAGACCTAGGAGGAAGGTTGGCTCTGACATCAAGTGCTAGGTGTCAACACATTTAAGGACTGATATTTCCCAACACTGAGGTACAAATTATACAAGGAAAGCACTGCTTGGTGCAATGTTTGGTTTTGTTTCCCCCACTCAGAAGATTTTTTAGGACAATGAGAACTCACGTTCTTGCTGGGGACACACATGGGTGTCCCTTGTTTCACCTGACCTGCTTCCACAGTCACCCCTATCACTATTGGATCTCGAGAATTGAAAACATACTGAGGGAGGATTTTCATCTTGCAGGGAAATACTGCTATGTGCCTGAAAGGGAAAAAAAAGTAAGAATTTAAGCTTACAAAAGCATTTAAACATTTAAAAAAATAGAACTGACCACACAACTCCTACACTGGGTGGAATGATTCTGCTCCAAGGCCAGGTGATAAGGTCAGGTCAGCAACCCTGCTACTGGGGAGTCCAGCCCGGTGTCCCTCCCCACCCACACCACACTTCCTTTCCCCCCTCATACTCCCTCTCTGCCTATGCTGCCGCTTCCCAAGTCTTTCACTTTCTTCTCAGGCTCAGCCAGTAAAGAGTACAACACAGAAGTGTCCTGTGCCCAAACCAAAAGACAAAGCCTGGCTTCTGAAGACTTCATGTTCCAGGCACACCCGTGGGACAAGTCTCAGTGGGGACACAGGAAGTCGTCTTGGGGACCACAGGGCATCCATTTATATTCTCTTCACCATGTTCCTACATTGTTGAGCCAAACAGCTACTGTGGGGCCAGTTTCCCTGCTCAAAGAGCCTTACATGGGTCCTAGCAGGTACCCTAACATTTGCAAGTCTTCTCTTGTCAGATTTCATGGTCTCCAGTGAGTATATTCCAACCTAACACTCAGTACTTACCAGTCAGCTCTAGTTTAAAAGTACATCCAAAACTCAGCCATCACTGCCCAGTGCTCTGCAACACCTAATCACTCTTTTCTGGACTGCGCGAGCTTCCTGAGAAGAGCTCCTAACCACCCATGCTCCACAGAACCACCAGCCTGGCACCAAAGGCTCCTCACAGCTCAAAAGCTCATTCCTTTCCACAGCTTTCTGGGTCCTTCCTCTACCACACAGGTCCTGTCAACTCTGAGCTTCTTGTCTACCACACTCCCTGACAGTTTCCTGTTTCAGCTGGCAGGGCTGCCTCACATGCTGCTCTGCCTGGACATGGCCTGCATGGCTCATGCAGTCTTATGCTGCAATGCCAAGGACAGCCTAAAGATGTGAGATACTTTCCCCTACTAACTGCAGTCACTCCTTGATGCTTATCCCGAATCTGCTGGTTTCCTCCCTCAGGGAGAGTGAGCCAGAGTTCCAGGAGAAGGAGCCTGGCCAGGGCCCTGCTGTCTCCTCCAGCCCCAATGGAAGGGTAGGCGCACAGGCACTCGCAGTGTTTGCACCAAACTATTTTTTCTCTCCATTCCTTTGCTTATCTAATTTTCACACTAATTTTATTAATTTCATGCAATCCCAGATAAGAAATTCCAGCCAGATAAAGCCCCCACCTTCAGTAATTACTAACCCATTAATGAGACATAAGTCCGCCAAATTGAGTATTAATAAACTGAAAGGCTGCAGAGAGTAACTGCCCACACATTGCTAGAACAGAACATCCCTGGGGGCAGGGATTTGGGTCAAGGACAAACACTTCAAGATGTGCCCTCTGGCACATGAATAAATGCCACACTTTTCCCTACACTCTTTTTTTAGTATTTAATAACCCCCCACTTCACTTCCAAAGATCCATAACAAATAAACAAACAAAAACAACTTACTTAAATTCTTCTTGTTTCTGTTTCTTGTAGTCTTGTCTATATTTTGTAAAGGCATCAAATAAGTGATAAATAATTTCTGCACTAAAAATTCTAACTCCTAAACTATCAGCCATTTCTTGTGCATCCCGTTCAATTCTTACATCAAAGGCCAAAATTACTGCATATCTGAAAGGTGAGAACACATCAGAGATCACTCAGTGAAACAGGACGTCACAAGGAACGGTCTGCAAAGAACAGGCAGCAAAGGTGATTGCTTACTGAGGGTCATGTTCCAGCATCACAGAAGCCTTCATGACATCTTTCTTGTGCACAGGGCCGATGTTGATTCCTGCATACTGTAAAAATGGGTTTCAGGTTTGCATGTATCGGGTAATGTAACAGCACCAAAGACCATGGCTACCACTGAGTGTGGAGCTGAGCGTGGTTACTTACGGGCACTTCTGAAGTTTTCAAAAATTCAAGTAGAGCTTCCAAAGAGCCCAATGTAGAGGCCTGGACATAGACTCCTTTTTCTTCTAATTTGATAGCATTTAATGTTTGCTTCAACTCATGGATCAATTCATCCTTGAAATAAGATTTCACAAGCATGTCAACATATCTCTTATTTTCAGCAACCTAGAATTAAACTTTTTTTTTTTAAATACTTTAAGGCTTACAGAGAAGCATAGCGTGTGCCTGCAAAAAAGAGGACTGGACAGCCACGGCCTACCCCTCTCCCGCATCACCATTTATTTATGTTTGGCAGTACTAAGGATTGAATTTGGGGTCTTCTCACTGAGCTACTACCCTAGTATTTAAAATCTGAGACAGGGTCTTACTAAGTTGCCCAGGTTGTGCTCAAACTTTGGATCCTGCCTCAGGCGTGTGCCACTATGCCTGACACCTTTGCTTTTAGGCTAACTTCAAAATATGTTTACCCTCTGCTCCAATATGGATGGGTGGGCAGAATGAAAAAAACAGATAAAATAACCTAAAATTTAAAAGTACATGTTAAAAAAACTGCTTGACTGTTTCAAGTCAGTGTCAGAAATACACTGATCAATGATCTCAGTGGCTTTTTTGACCAAAAGTGTCATTTAAGACATGTAAGTACAGTGCCTACTCACCAGTGGCCGAGAGAGAGACAGCCCTACAGTGGAGGTTCCCTAGTGCTGCCTGGAGAAAAAAGGTGGCTCAGCACCAAAGAGGGAGAGCTGGTAACAACTTATATTTCTTTCAGCAAACTAAGGCGCGGAGCCTACTTTCGTGAAACCATGCTGGATACTGGCCAGCTGCTCTGACAGCTGGCCAAACAGGCTTTCACATGTTCAAGACAGGGCTGTCCAAGCATTACTATCCCATCAGGTGGCTGGTGTCATCTGATGGGACTCTCCCATGCCAACCAATGGGACAGGTATGCATGTACCACTGGTGGATAAAGCCAGAAGAAAAATAAAAAAAAACAAAACAAAACCCTTCTTGCTTTTGACTGTATTATACATGCCAATTCCTACAACTGTACAACTTGTCATTCCAAGTCAAGCTAAGAGGCCAGCAGTTGACAGGCTTTCCTCACAAAGATGAAGGTTCCCATTCAGTCACTGCTCCTACCAAGTGCCCTGCAGAACAGAAACTCAACTAGCTTTGGAGAAAAAAATAAATAAATAAATAAAGTAAACTTACTTTAAGAACAGGGATTTCATCTTCTTTATAAGCCACCAGGAGGGGTAAACCAGCCAATGTTTTCTCCAAGTCTTTCCCAAGAATCTTTACTCCCTGAGCTGCTTCTACTTCTTTATGCTTTTCATACTGGTTCTATAGGAACAAAAAGACATATTCCACAGTGTTTATTCAAAAAATGAAGGCACTGAGAGGTGATGGAATAACATCATGACTCTGGGGTTATGAAAGATTTCTTAAAGTAGACACAAAAAAAAATCACAAAACTTTTATGATAAATTCAATATTAAGTATCCAATCGCACAAAATACAACAGAAAAAGAAAAAAAAAAGTAAAAAAAAGATATAGCAACCCTTAAGTAACAACAGACTAATACAGTAAGTCCCTGACTTAATGAATACTCTAGTTATGAACTTTCACAGATAGGAACAGACTGCACATCATGAACATTTGTAGATTCAAACAAATCACAGAAGTAGCTCACATGTCTGCCAGACACTCAGTTGTGGTGCTGTGTACTTACTGAACAGTGCGATAGTGTACAGCAGTACAGTGCTATTAGAGCCCAGGGTGTCCAAAAGCAAGAGGAAAAGCAATGGTGATGTGGAAGGGATTCTAGGAAGTACAAAGCAATAACCATGGAATCAAAAGTGAAAATAATTAAGAGATTGACCTGAGGTGAAAAGATGGTAGAGGTGTTGCTCGTTCTTATGAATCATTTAAACACTGGCACAATCCTAAAGAACAAGGACAAGATCATGGAACACGTGAAGTCTGCTAAGCCAAGGAAGTCAATAAAATATCTAAAAAGCATGGTAAAGTGAGAGGGGATGGAGAAACTTTTCAGTGTGATGCAGGAGCAACATCAGTGTTGAGTCCTACTCAGCTTAATGCTTCTTCAAGAAAAAGCTAAAGCCTGTGTGAAAGCTTGAAGAAAAAACAGAGTGAACAGGCTGCATCTTTTACCTGCGTCTCACTTTGTTGGACTTACAACAGAATCTGACTACCAATGTTCTCCCAGAAAGGAACTCATTTGTTAAGCTGGGGACTTATTGTATTGTAAACATATAAACAACTGCTATAAATCTGCAAAAAACCACAATGGAGAAAAGCAGTGATTTTTCAAAGAAGGAAATAGCTAATAAACAAAAATGGCCATAGTAACTACATAAAAACAATAAGCTACAGACCCAGCAGAAAGGCAAAAAATGTTAAATCTTGTGGCATTAAAGAGGTGGTGAAAGAGGTTTATGGGTCTATACCAACTCCCCACAAAGGATGTAATCATTATGCACTACAAATGTACTAATACAAATTTTAAAATTTTAGAAACAAGATCTAGTGAAGATGTGAAACAAGTAAAACTAAAACCCAACTGGGAGTGTGACCTGTTAGGCCTGCCTCAGCCTTCTCTAGGGAAATAGGCCGGCTGAGTGCACCCTCTGAATGCAGGCGGAAGGAGGAAGGAGGCGATGCAAGAAGGATGTGCACAGCCTCTGTGGTGAATAAGCGAGGCAGCCGACACTTCCCAACAACAGAACTGGTAAATAAACTGTGATTGTTTCCCAAGGTGGAATATAAATCCTAAGTTATTTTTCAACTGAAAAGCCAATACAAAGAATAAATCTATTTAGTTCACAGATGTTTTTTGAGAGATACACATTCAAAAATGCGGACTAGGTTAACTTGGAACAGAAGGCAGGTAATCACATTCTTGATGTGGCTGCTTCCTCTACTTTTAAGAACTTTTCCATGTTTTATGTACTTTGCAGTATAAATGTCTTCTTTCAGCATAAGACAATGTTAAAAAAAAAAAAAAAAAACTACTTAGATGTGTAGAACACAATGCAGAAAGTGATCTTAGGAAAAGCCTGGCCTGGCAACAGGCACACTCACACATCCCTGTCCTGAGAACAGCCCCTCCCGGATGGACGAGGACATCTAACCCCCCAAGCAAGAGGGTGAGCTCAGGCAGACAGCCCCACACAGCTGCTGAACACATGAGTGCCTGAGAAGCTTACCTTCACGCGCAATTCCTTCATAGGGGGAGGTAACAGGAGGCCTCGGATCTGAGTAACAATTGGCCCTTCTACTCCAGGAACAATGATTGTGTCCCCTTCCTTCAAACGACCATTGATTAGTATGACATCTATAGTGGTGCCCATTCCTGGGAGAGCTTTAACCTAACAGACATTATTGCAAAGAGAACAAAACATACAATGTGTCATGATCATTAAATCTCTCTGTGGTATGGTGAACATCTCTTACCAAAGGTACACCTTACTAAGGAGGATCATTACCTCCATCACCTGAGCTCGCAACTCTTCACAGTGTGCAAGTCTCTTGCTCAACATGGTCTGAGTTAACTCGACAAGAAGGTAGATCAAGCTTCCCATGCCATCGCCAGTATGTGCAGAGGTAGGTACCAAGGACACAAAGGTGCGAGGATCTTTGTTCTCATAAAACAAAGCAGCATTCAAACCCTGAAAGCAAAGTCATTTCAAAATGGCATTATGTGAAAGGAGGTAACAGGAAGAGCAAAAGATGACTAAAAGGGATGGAGGAGCAAAGGGATGGAGGAGCAAAGGGCTAATTCTCCTCACTCTTTGAAACAATTCCAGAGGGCTGAGCATGTAGTGCAGTAGCAGGGTGCTTTCCCAGTATGAATACAGCCCTGGGTTTGATCTCCAGCACCAAATATAAAAATAAAACACTGTAGAAATGATCTTATAAGCACTTACTACAAAAAATGAAGTGATTTCTATGTGGGTGATTTATTCCATGGCACTACACACTGAGTGGGAAACTTAAATTCTTGCTGGAAACATCTAGCTTTTCTAGACATTTAAAGTGCACACATATAAAAGGTGAGGGCCACAGTAATGCTTTTTGGCTATGTTTTAGGGGCTGTCTTTGAGACAGGGTCTTGTGATGTAGATCAGGCTGGTCTTGAACTTATTACATAGCCCAGGTAGGCCTCAAACTCGAGGTGATCCTCTTGCTTTAGCCTCCTAAGTGCTGGGATTACAGGCCTTAGCCACACGCCTCGCCCTTGAGGTATTTTTGTTACTTCACAGGAAGAGTTGTATTGTGGGAGTGGAACTGTTAACCCTGGTGTTCTGGAGAGGGTGCACACTGCACATGAAGATGGTGGGACAGGATGCAGAGCAGGAAAGGATGCAGAGAAGAACTCACAGAGCTAAGTAAGGTCAGATTGCCCAGCCCTTGTTCTTTATGTGTACTTCAGTTAATACTGCTGGCTATCACAGGAAAGTCTGAATGCCCAAATTATGTGAGGAGTAGCAGAATAATTCCTGTATAAATGTTCGTTAGTTTGTTTTTAGGAAGAATCATGCTTTTCAACATGACCTTTGTTAAAGCCACCTCTTAGAGCTTCATAGTGTGGTCCTGAACTTAGTCACTGGAGTAAAGAGGGCAAAGAGCGCAAGCAGGGTGGGGCTCTGCTCACATCTCCATGTCTTGAAGATGGATTTTAGATCATAACCACACCCTGGGAGCCAGTGGAGCAATGAATAATGCATCTGACAATGTATCAGATCATAACCACAGGTCTAGATGTGCATTTCGGGTAAAGTACAAGGTTCATACTTCTTGGCATGACATTAAGCGTTATAGAGATGTCCCAAGGTGACACTGCATTGTATGATAAAAAGCCCAACTCATGAATTAGCCAACTTGCAGGCATCTTTTTCTTTTGTTTGTTTTGTTTTGTTTTTTTGAGACAAGGTCTCACTATGTAGTTGAGACTGACCTGGAACTCACTATGTAGATGTAGCCCAGGCTGGTCTCGAACTCTCAGAGATCCTCCTGCCTCAGCCTCCCAAGTACTAGGATTACAGGCGTGCGCCACCATGCCCAGCCAGGCATCTTTTTCTTATAATTGAAGGAAAAGACGTGTCCCAGACCTGGAACTGCTATAGCACCTCTAGGCAGCTCGTAGCAGGACCTGGATAAGGCTGGCAAGAAGCACACAAAGTGTGCAGTATGTTCAGACTTACTTTTTGGTGTCCTCTGGCTACACTATGGGAACAGATTAGCAAGTCAGTGAGAACATACTTCCTCACTAATATTTTAATAGCAGCCATTCAATAACTTTACTTGTGAACTGAGTTGCATTATTCTCTTTAATTGAGCATTAATGTGATGCACTGTTTCAACAGTAATGCTGCTGTTGCCAATATTTCTATCAGAGGCCTATTGCCACATTTGACTACAGTGAAATATCTGTCACCAAGAAAGTCAAGATTACAATTTTTTCAAACAGAATGAGCTGGTGTAGTGTCTTCTTGGTAATCAAAAAAATTCTCCAAGCCAGGTATTTAGCTCAGTGGTTCCAGTGCCTGCCCTGCAAACGCAGGGGCCTGAGTTTGATCCACGGTACCAAAAAGAAAACCCCAAAAAAATATTCTCATAGGTTCAGAATTTTGAACATTCATGATGTGCAGACCAGCATGATAGACACCACACAGCATCAGCCACACAAATGACACATGTACATGTTGAATATGTACATGAGGGACTAAGCTGCTATGACTGTGAATGCCTCTGCTCTTTGTTTCTTGTGCTTTTGTCTCTGGTAATGTGCATATTAACTTTTAAAAAATAATTATTTCCCCCTCCCCACCAAAATAAAACGGTTTCTAAGTCAAATTATTTTTTTAAACATTCAGACTTCACAAGGGATCTCCCAAGTACTTGCATTCTCAGATTAAAAAGGAAGCCACACACAGTGGGTGCAAGGCCTATATTCCCAGTGAGAAGGCAGAGGAAGGATTAAGTCCAGGAGGGCAAGGCCAGCCTGGACAATACAACAAGACCCCCATGTCTCAAAAGAAAACAAAAACAAAACCAATAAAGTAAAATAATGCAAAAAGAATGATAAATAATAGAATAGAAACATGAGGAAATATGAGGGAGGCCCTTTGTAAAGCAGAGGTTATTTTCTTACCTGCTGTGCAAATTCTACAATGATGGTCTTTGCGCGCTCCTCAAACTCGTCTTTTGTATTCTTTTTCTGCTTCTTTAAAGTAGCAGCCACATCAGAATCAGGACTCTTTTTCCAATCATATAACCTATCAATCTGGAAAAGGTTTTTCATAAGAAACATTTCAAAAAACTTTGAACATCTAAGAATCTCAGGTCAATGGCCATAGAAAATTCCTAGTATACATTCTATACACACACACACACACACACACACACACACACACAGAAGAGTACAAATTATCAGTTATTGAATCATACCAAAAATCCTGAATGTACTGTAAAACTTCACTCTTAAATGTCAGCCTCTGGGGGTGTATAAGAGGCTGCTACTAGTCTGTAAAACCTGAGATCCTAAAAGTATTTTATGCCCATTAACCTGTGTTGTCAAAATTCCAAAACAGTTTTGTAAAAGAGTAGACAGGAACAATGACAGATTGCATTAAGTAACATCACTAGGAAAATTACACAGCAACTTTAAAAAAATTATTTCCTGTCTTGCAACAGCTCATTTTAATTGGTTTATTGCTCAAATTTGGATTAATCTGTTTAATCACTCTAATTTGACTATAAATTGTACACATGTTCTGAGACCCATGAATTGAAATCCATAAACACAAACAACTATGTATCAGTAAAAACACTGTTTTTCTTAAAAAGTAGGAAAGAATATAGGGAATATATAATGCTGCTGCCTAAAGACCTAAACAAAAGACAATTACTTAACAGCCAACAAAAATAAACCAAACAAACGCACACTCTGGGGTGATAACGTAAAGAAGTAGGTCAATCCGAATGCTGTTATGAAGAGAAATTATGACAATGAAATTAGCATATGGTGTCTTTAAAGGAAAAAACTTAAAAAGAAAGGAAAAACTTAAAATTTGTAAAGATATAATGAAAAATTCACTGGATGAACTTAACAAATCATATTTGCAAATACATAATTTTATTTACATATACGAAGGAATACAGAGCATAATAGTATTTAAATATAAGGATCTTAAGTTTAAAAGTGCACACTGTAAACTACCCTAGGGTAATGAATAAGAAAATACAAACAAAAAGCTTATACTCCAATAAGGGGAATAAAATGAAATACTCAAAAACATGCAATTAGCTGCCCCAAAAGGACAGAAAAATAAGAAAAAGAAACAAGGATTATCTGAAATAACTAAGAAGAATAGTAAGATGGTACAACTAAATCTATTATATGCTGATAATATATACAGTAAATGTAAATGGTTTAGACAGGGACTACTGCTTAAAAACCAACAAAGATCAAAATATATGCTGTCTACAAGAAATGCATTTTAAATATAAAGAAATAAAGATGAGAATAAGTAAATGGATGCCATGCAAACAATACTCATAAATTGAAGTAGACTTAAAGTTATGTTAACAAAGGACATAGTAAACATAAGTGCAATGTAATCAAAAAATATGGTTTATTTTTGGGGGTTTTTTGAGTCCGGGTCTCACGATGTAGTTGAGACTGCCCTGGAACTCAAACCAATCCTCCTGCCTTAGCCTCCCATGCACTGGGATTACAGGCGTGTACCACCACGGCCAGCTTTATATGGTTAATTTTTAAAACAGTATTGCACACTGACATTAACTATGCTCAAAAAACTCCCCCTGGCTTCAAGTCACTTATCCCATCATTTCTGCACTTTCAGAAGTAGTTCTGGAAGTCCTTTTGCATGTCTTCATGTGTGGCTGCCTTCATGTCCTGAAGTGATTCACAACGTTTACCTTTCATGGTCATTTTGATTTTGCAGAAGAGCCAGAGATTACAGGGTGCCTGATTTGGTAAATAAGGCAGATGAGGATGCACAGTAATACTGTAATGGGCCTGCTTTCCCTCATGGTGTCCCTCCTCAGCAGCACTTACTGAATTTGTGATCATACCTTGTAAAGACACAAAAGGGGACATCCCAAACTGATTCACAAAGTTTTAAGAATGATGGGATGAGTGTGTTTGAAGCACCGTGGAGTATTTTGAGGAGGATTGACGACAATGTATCTTTTACTACAATGCTATAAATTTAAGCACACACTGTATTTTCCTATCACCTCTTATAAACAAAGTCAGTGCATTATGAAGAAATAATAACCTTAAATGTGCATGCCCCCAACCAGAGCTTTCCAAAATACATGCAACATAAATGTAAAGAATTGAGAAAGGGGGAAAAGACAGAATTGAAAGGGCAGACAAATCTACAATCACTGTTGGAGCCTAAACACTCCTTTAACAGTAACATATAACATCAGTATACTGAAAGTCAGTAAGTATACAGACAGAACAACACTACCAACAAATCTGACCTAATAGGCTGTACAGAACATTAGACCCAACAAAAGCATAAAACATTCTTTTCAAGTGTTAATAGAACATACCAAGACTGATGGTATGGTGACTATAACAATATAATTAGAAGAGATCATAGATTATGTTAACTATACTGAATTATATTAGAAATCAATATATTTAGAAATTAAAGAACACAGTAATTAATGCTTAAAGGGAAATTAATACCTTTAAATGTTTATGCTTATTTCAGAAATATTAACAACAAAACCAAGTTAGTTTTTTGAAAGAGGCAAATTTATAAAAAGTCAAAAACTAAACTCATATAGCCTTAGGCCTAGTTAAGAAACTTCACGCTGATGTGGCTTTAAGTGAATTACACCTGACACTTAAAAAAGAAGCATCATTTTGCCACCAATTCTGTCAAACAAACAAACAAAAAAAAAGGAAAGAAAAAAGAGAAAGCATTTTTAAACTCATTTAATGAGGTCAACACTATATCAAATTAAGACAAAAGTCATTACAAGAAAACTATATGCAAATATCACTTATGAACACAAACAAAAATTTTCAACAAAATATCAGCAAATCAAATCTAGCAATATATTACAAAGATGTAACATTTGGTGGGCTGACCCAAGAGGATTGCTGCAAGTTTGAGGCCAGCCTAGGCTATGCAGTGAGTTCAAGGCTAGCCTGAAAACTAGTTTCTCAAAAAACACGAAAATAAATAAAATAAGATACTACACAATGATCCAGACTTTTAAAGCTGTTAATTCCACAATATGGCAACACTGAAAAATCAATAGCTTTTCTACATCAGTAATAGAATAGCTCAGGCTAAAAAAAAAAAGGAAAATTACTCAATTCACAATAGCTTGGGGGGTGGTTAAAATACCTAGAGATCATTCTTACCAAGGAAGTGAAACACTTTTACAATGAAAATTTCAAAGCACTGAAAAAACTGAAGATACTAAAACATGGAAAGATCTACTATAGGACTATACTATATTCTGAATAGGTATGTATGCATAAGTCATCAAAATACACTAACCAGTGCACTTCTCATGGAGCGCATTTTCTTTGGTTAATTATACTACACATATGAGGGTTATCCTACAAGTGAGGGTTCTGTGCTTCCTGGCCATCACAACATGGGCAGCTGTGCTCACCACAGTCCCCACTGTGAAGCTCTACCTCACCACACCACTGAAACTGCAAGTCCAAGTAAACTCTTCCTCCTTAGAAGCTCACTGTCTCACATACTTTGTCACAGCAGTGGAACACTATCACAGGAAGGTGTGTTTGAGAAAAATGTAGTATGGGTAAAATAAAAGGTATATGAAAGGAATGGAAGATGAAATAGGAGAGGAAAGTTAGATTTATATTGTAAAGTGCTTGAAATGCCACAGAAGGAGTTTGGGTTGGGGCAATATACGTCTACTGGCATACTGTGATGTAACAAAACCAGACTTTTCTAGCAACATTAAGGTGCAATCATCTGCATCACCTAAAACTGGACTCCACTCAACATCTGCCACAAACCATCTCCCACTTCAGTGACCCTCCATACCACCATATTATCCACCTGGCTCTCTTCGTGAGGAGTCAGAGAGTCTACTTTGATGCTTCCTTCTTTCTATCCCCTCAATCTATCTCTAAGTTCTGCCAAACTGCTTCTATACATACATTAAAAGCAGTCCTCTTCTCTGTCAAAACACTAAAGTGCAACAGACTTAATTTAAGACCTAATTGATTTGTACTAGAGATTGTAGGGTAGTAGCATCTCACTGTAACACAGACCGAGTGTTTGGAGAGCTGAGTAGAACCAGTCAACTTAATATGCAGAAAAGGGCTGAAAAAAGCAAAATAAAAAACAAAACCTACTTATTTAAATCAAATTAAGAACTATTTTCAATTAAATTTTTGAGGATGACCTACCTTATTGAGTGCAACAATGAAGGGACATTTTTTAGATTTGAGAAGGTTGATAGATTCAATTGTCTGTGGCTCCAAACCATGCATAATATCAACAACTAAAATGGCAATATCGCAAAGAGAACTTCCTCTGTTTCTCAGATTACTGTTGCAAAGAGGGAAAAATGTATAAAAAGAAAATCATAAATCATTATTTTTCTTAAAGTTTTAATTTCAAAAATCTAAATGAAAGTTACCCTTTGGTATCCACAGTGGATTAGATCCAGGACCCTGAGGATGCCAAAATTTGTGGATGCTCAAGTTCCTTATATAAAATGCTATTGTACCTGCACAGAACCTTCTCACTGCCTCCTATACACTTCATGTCACCTCTACCTTGCTCATACAGGGTAAGCATCCCTACTCCAAAACTCTAAAAGCAAAAACTTATAATGTCAACATGATGCTCAAAAAGTTTCAGATTTTGAAGCATTTTGGGCTTCAGATTTTTGTAGTAGTGATATTCAACCCTAAAGTTTATGCAAACATTCCAACTCCAAAATCTGAAACACTTTTGGTCCCAAGCACTCAGAAAAAGGGTAACTACACTTTACAGGATTTACATTGTGTAGGCATTAAACAGTTGTCACACCGTGTTACTGTTTATAGAATGGCAAAAAAGTTCTACACACATTCAGTACAAATGCAATTTTTCAATTATTTTTGACCTATAGTTATTTGAATTCATAGGTATGGAACCAGTGGATAAGGAAGGCCAACTGTCTATGTATGTACGTGTGTATATGTACATTATATACAATTTATATGTTAAATTGTTGTACTCATCTAACAAACATAACCGCTATTTGTGAAAATGAGTTAGTTCCAAAAGTTGCTCTAATATTTCTGCCAATTTTATTGATCTAGTTTTCTGTGGTTAACGAATATGGACAAAAGACAATATAATGTCCCACTTGAAGGAAACAGACTAAGTATGCATCAGGGTTTGCACCAAATTCCTCATTAGGAAGATAGTCTTTCAAAGTAGAAGGGACTTTCTTCTATAAAAAACAAGGATCCAAATGAAACACTACCATCAGTGATGCAGTGAAATTGTAGATACCAGTACCTCAGATTTCAAATGACTACCCAAAGAGTAATGACTCCACTAACCTTTCAAACTTAAAATGTTTCAAGCACTAGCCTTGGTCTTACCTGAAAGACTCATGTCCAGGAGTATCAATAATCAGCATTCCTGGAATTCGTACATTCTCTCTATCAAACTAAAAAGAGTGAGGGGAATAAGAGCATAAGAAAGTCAAAACCATGAAAAGTTGCTTGAAAAACAATTCACCTGTCATGAAAACTCAAAAAAAAAATCATTAATCCCTCTTCCAAATAAGTGGTTTTAAAAGCCAGTGAGTCAACTAACAAAGTGTAACACAATATTTTTGTTAATATCAAAAGACCACCTTTGCTAAGTCATAAAACTGTGGTACTGTTTACATTTGGGCAGATTATTAATAAGTGTGATAAAAATTTGTTTTTGTATCTCAAGAAAGGTGATACAAAGAGGTTATCTTCAGTATTTGAAAAATGTGTCTGATTCAATTTTAAAGCAATTCTTAACTACCCAATTTATATCTAAAGTAGGGGCCAGGGATTTAGTTCAGTGGCTCTGCTGCTTGCCTAGCAAGAGCAAGGTCCTGAGTTGGATTCCCGGTACCAAAAAATAACACATCTAAAGTATGTTTTCAAGAAAATCAGCACACTGATCAAATATGTTAAAGAACAAAGCCTGATGTGGTTTATTAAAATGCCATACCTTTGTTTTCTGTTCAGAAGCCCTTAAAATTAATGAAAACAAAATTACAAAAGATTGTATTTGTACATACTTCTTTTAGTCTGAAAAGTAATGAGTACTAACAAAGGTCATTTTTTTTCCACTATGGTTATCTATACTTTTTCCTAATCTTCAAGTGATTTTTCAAAATTATATCTCCTGATCTATATCTAAGTGATACAAACATGTTTCAAATCTGCATTTTGATGGGCCAACATTCACTGAGCACTATAATTGTTCCACTCTAGTACTTTGAATACAGTTATGTAAAAGTATTATCAAGAACCTTATTATGGGCCTAATAATCTTTCTCTTTAATTATCTTCTAAAATAACACAAAATCTTAGCAACTGCTGAATAAGATGTTAAGAACTCTACAATAATACACAGAAATACTATTTAAATTATAACTTCAATTAGAAATGTAAAAACCTTTATTTTTTAAATTCTTAAAGATTCAAAACTCCTTGTTGCAAAAGAGTACCATATAACTGGAAAAATAAATCAGAACAACCAACACCAAAATGTAAAATGACCACACCTTCAAAGATGTAAATCTGCTTATAATCAAACATAATTGCATTATACAGGAAGAAACTTGACATTTAAGATACCTGAGCAAAAAAATTTCAACCAACGATTTTATATGTGGCCTAGTGACATTCCAGTATCAGGGTCACAGAGTATTCAATATTCAAATACTTGAACAATATTATTTCTGTAATCCTTTCTTAGGAATCTACTAGAAAATGAGCTTCATAAAATTCAATCTCACATGGAAACTGGAGAGACACAGTTCACCAATTCTTTTTACATGCAGAACAAAAACTAAATCAGGAGTAAAGTGACACTCACATTAGTAGCACTTCCACTTGCTCTGTGATCATGGAACTGAGGGTTATTTACAAGACCCAGTTCTAGGTCTGAAGCAGTTTCTAACTGAGGAGCTGGGACATCCTACTATATCAGACAGCTCTGATGAAATTAAAAACTGGGACTCAGTTGGGGATGTAGGGGATTTAGAAGTAGGCTGGGGATAGGAGTAGGCTGGGGATTTAGCTCGGTGGTGCCACCACCTGCCTCGAAAGCACAACGTCACATGTTTGATCCAGATACAAAAACAAACAAACTGGGACTACTAACAGAATTGGCTCACAATGACCCAGGAACTCAATAGTGGGCAAAGATGTAATTATCTCAGTACAATGATAACTAAAAAGGTTTGAGAAAGCAACTATATTTAACTCCATGAATCCATAATAGAAAAAAATCGGTCATCACCTAGTTTTAAAGCTGATATATAAAAGGCAAAGGATCAGGTATTAATTCTGCCTTTCTTACACTTAACTAACACTGAGTAATCAAACAGAGAATTAGATAAAAATTTCTCTATGGAAGTAAAGGAAGATGGACGACAGAAGTGGAATGTCAACATTTTGAACTCCAAATACATTTAAAGAGAGACATTACCCTAAAAATACTTACAAAAGGAAAAGTAGGTTTTACATGATGAGAGCCACCTGGGAGGCTTGAGGTTAACTACAAAGGTTCTATTTCCTAACAAGGTGACTTCAACCGTGCTTGTAATACAATGAATGATCCATTAAGCTTTACATTTTACTGTGTTATAGTTAATACCTAAAAATTAGATCCCTCCAAACAAGTTAGAAAATGTGGGAGATAGAAAGAAAGGTTGAAGAGGAAACAGAATTTTCAAACATGGAATCAATAGTATCAATGTTAAACCATGGAGGGAAATGACAAACTTTAACTTTGGAACAGTGGTTACCTGTGGCAGAATGAGAAAAAAGTACAACATGTCCTTTTTTGGAAAGACATAAAACAAAATACGGCAAAACCATTCAGATGTTAATTCTTTTTCTGGTACTGAGGATTGAACTTGGGTCCTTGCACTTGCAAGGCAGGCGGTGAACCACTGAGCTAAACTGGATGTTAATTCTGAATAGTGAACATATGACTCCAATCTAATCATCTAATTCCTTTTTTTCTGATGTCTGAAATATTTCACGTCTTCATTTTTGTTAGAGCTTAAAAGAGATGATATACAATGTAACTTACATTTTTAATCATCTTAGTCTGCTCATTAATAGCTTCAAGGGGAACATTGGTGGCCCCAATCTGCTGTGTGATACCACCTGCTTCACCATCTTGGACATGAGTATGACGAAGCTATGAGAAAAATGGCAAATTTGGATTGGTATTTTGATACAGCAAATAATAAAAGTAAAAGCAATAAAAAATTAGCTATTCATTGCAAAGAGAATTGTCCAAAATATCCTATGGGTTGTTAAAGCCTTTTAAAAGCACCATTCATTTGTTTTGTTTTGTTTTGTTTTTGGTACCAGGTATCGAACTCCGGTTCTTGTGCTTGTGAGGCAGGCAGCGAAACCAGTGAGCTAAATCCCCAGCCCTCATTTGTTTTTAAAGTTTTATCAATGCACACAATATTTTCTTACCTTATCTAGAATTTTTGTCTTTCCTGTGTCCACATGGCCAAGTACACAGATAATAGGAGCTCTTAGCTTCTCTGTATTTACATTTTTACTATGTTCAAGTCGCCGTTTCTAGATATGAAAAAAAAATCACAAAGCTCAAAACTGAGTGGGTGAGGAAAAGCGGATAAAAAATGATTAAGAGGTCATATACACATACCACTCTCCCAAACAAATGTAAATTCCATGTATGGTAAACATACACCAATAAAAAAGTGAAATACTATTTCAAATCCTATCATTGTTTCTTTCATATTTTCCTTGGCATGAGAATGAAACAACCCAAATCCAAGTCCTTTACAACCCACCTCCCCTCAGAGCACCTCTAGCTAAGGAGAAACCTGTTAGAATAGGTTTCAGAGCAGCATTGATGACTGTGAATAGGAATGGTGTACAATTATCATCTGCAGTGTTCTGATCACTTTTACATACAGCTGATTTAATGGAATGCCATAGTGAGAGCCTATCTCAAAATAAAAAATAAGAAGGAGCTGGAGAGGTAGCTTAGTCTAACGGCTCTAGGTTTAACCACCAATATCACAAAAAAAAGGTAAAAGACAGAAAGTAAAACTAACTTCATTATCCCACTCTGTAGAGCAGTTAAAAGTTCTGTGTATGATCAAGTTTTTAAAAAATATTCACCTGAAAATAAACTGTAAATAATTTTTATGTTATGGGCCTTTCAGCTACAAACATTAGCTCTGTTGAGATATATTTACATGGCAAAACTGGCCTGTTTTAAGAACTTAATGATATTTTATCCATTGACAGAGCTGTGCAACCCATCCTTAGAATATCTCCATTAGCCTAAAAGATTCATTGTCCCAATCTGCAGTCACTCCCCATTCCCAGCCCAGGCAATTATTAATCTATTTTGTCTCTACCAATCTGCCTGTTTGAAAATTCCATATAAAAGTAATCATGCAGTATGTAGTCTTTTGTGTTTTGGCTTCTTTCCCTCAAGCCTGTTTTTGAGGTTGGTTTGTATCATAGCCAGTGCCAGAATCTGGTTCCTTTTTATAGCCAAGTGGCATTTCTTTGTAAAAATACACGGATTGGGCATTCCTAATCTGAAACTCTGTGTTGTAAAGTCCGAAGCTTACTGAGTACTGGTTTGATACTCCCAGTGGCTTTGCCCATGTGAGGGAAGTGCTCTACCAGACTTACACCCGCAACCCAAAGTTCTGTTTTCTTGAGAAAGGGTCTTGCTAAGCTGCCCGGTTGGCCTTGAACTCATGGTGATCCTTCTGCTTCAGCCACCTAAGTAGTTGGGATTATGGGTTCATGCTACCAAGCCCAACCTTGAGAATGTGTTTTTTAAAATGCTGCTCAAATTCTTTAGTTGGAGAATACAGTACTAATAATCACAGAGTGGAGAAAAAGAATAAAGAGAAAGGGAAAGTAAATACCTCGATTCTCCGTTTTGCTTTGTCATAAGCCCGTTCTTCTTTACTTCTATCATCATCAGAGTCATATTCTGAGTCAGAGCTTATTTCTTTACTTTGCTTTGTATCTGTTCTCCCTGAATCTTTCTCATCTGACATCTTTTCCTCTTCCTCATCACCTTCACTGGCCTCACTTTCTCCTTCCTCCTCCTCCTCTTCTTCACTCTCCTCCTCTTCATCTTCCTCTTCCTCCTCCTCTTCCTCCTCCTCAGGATTTTCCTTTACTTCTATATGAACTGTGTTTCTTTCTTTAGGAGGCAAACAGATTTTAAATTAAATGAGTTACTATTACAGATTTGCACTGAGACCTTAAAAGAGAAAATAACCCTGAAATGTACTAATTAGTAGCATTATATTTTCCTGCATCATAAATACTAAGTATGTCTATATACTACAATGAATACATTTGTGTAACAATAAAAACTTCAGGCAGCAATCCAAATTGAAGTTAATAAAACAGAAAGCATCAGGAAGACAGATTCCAAGGCAGAAAAGAAACACAGGAAGGTTAAGTCCAGCACTTAGTTCTGCTTTCTCCTTGGAGATGCTGCTGATTCTGGAGGTGGAAGCTGAAAGGGTAAGCTGCTTCAATGTCAGGAGACCAGGGCTGGAGGAGGAAAGAACAGCAGCACTAAACTTGAGGAAAAAGGATGGTTAGGACATAAACAGGACATCCCTGTTACTAGAAGACCTCCTTCAGATCCTCTAAATTGTGAAATTAGAATAAGATGGCTCCATATTGCTATTTTACTCAGGATTTCTGGAGTAAGTACAGGGTAAACACTCCTATCCAAAACCTCAATGTAATTCCATTTCATAAAACTTTGTTTCATGCACCAAAGTATTAAAACTACTGTATAAAATAACTTTAAGGGTGTACATTTAAGGCACATTTAAAATATTAATGGACTTCATCTTTGCACTTGGGTCCTATCTCTAACTAGCTCATGTATATACAAATATCCTCAAATCTAAAAAATTCCAAAATCCAAAGTATTTCTGACCCCAAGCATTTCAAATAAGAGGTACTCTACGTATAGGTATAAATCTGCTTTAAAGATAACACAATTCTGGGCCAGGGATTTAGCTCAGTGGTTCTCCCGCCTGCTTCACAAGTGCAAGGTCCTGAGTTTAATCCCCAGTGCCAAAGAAGGGATAACACAATCCCTTGCTTTAAATGATTTCTACATTTTTACAAATAAAATAACAGCATAATACATAAAAGTAACAAGATATATGAGGAAAAAATTTACATAAAAAATCAGTATGTAAGACAACTGGAAAGTTTTTGTATGTTGAAGTTAAGAAACTAAAATTTTAAAGTGACTGTGCTTCTAACATTCAGGAAATGGAATTAAAAACCAACAATCCAAAAGGGGCCAGGGATTTAGCTCAGAGGTCCTGAGTTCGATCCCTGGTACTTAAAAAAAAAAAAAAAAAAAAAAAAAGATGGTTACAAAGGAAACAACACAACAGGACTAAGATGAAAAACAAAACATATTTCATTAATTATATCACATGTTAAATGCAATGGGCTTTAAGTATTCTAAATGAAAGATAAACACTGACAAGCTGTGGTTGCTAGGGTTTGAATGTGGCATCCTCTCCATAATTCAGGTGGAGACACAGTTCCCACAGAGGCAGTATTAACAGGTGGGAATCTTCTGAGAAGTGACAGATGCTTTTACAAAAGAAGTTTCAAAAAGGGTCCACCCCTCTAGCTCTTCTTTCCTTATACTCCACTGGGGGATGACGCAGCAGGAAAGCAATGTCTTGGATGCAGCAAGCAGCCCCCACTGGATCTTAGACTTCCAGTTTCCACAACTGTAAAAATTTTCTATAAATCTATAAATCAAGTTTATAGATTCTATAAATCTATAAACTTCTCATTTCTATAGACTGGTATTTTGTTATAGCAGCATAAACGGACTAGGATAATGCTAAGGATACAGAAGAAGTAATGAAGATAGAAAACAGTCACATAAATAAGAGCTAGTATAGTTGTTTAAGTATCAGATACAGAAGACAAGGTAGTAGGCATTGTTTGAAAAAAGTAATAATGATAAAAGGCACAACTCCAACTTTATTCACCTATTAATAGCATCAAAATTCATAAAGCAAAAATTAACAGAATTCAGGGAAAGGCTATTTACAATCACAACAAGAGATTTCTACAACACAATGGTCTCAATAACACAAGAAAATAGCACAGAACAGTGTAAAAGCTCAGAACAGTATAAAAGACTTTATTTAACTAAACACAGAAAAGTGAAGTACCAAACTAGTGCAGACTATAAATGCTTTCTAATCACATATGAAACACAGTAAGTAACCATCTGCTAGGTTGCAAGCAAGACAACAGATTTCAAAGGATAGAAGCACTTTGCTCTCTGATGGTGCACTCTTGTAAATTAAGAAATATACTAAATAAACTATAAGTAAAAGTTAATATATCAAAATGAAAATCAGAAAATACCAATGCGTCAGAATTTGTAGAATTTGATGAAAGCCAGGCTTAAAGAAAATTCAGCTTTAAAAATAAGGGTGGTATAGGGGAGGGAAGGCTAAAAATATCAAATATCTAAATACCACTCTCAAGAAGATAAAAAAAAAATCATAGGAAATTAAAACAAAGAAAGATTTTAATAACAAATGAAAGTAATGACAATAAAACACCTCTTATTCATAGTAAACAGGAATTATACTATTCACTTTTTCATTACATTTTAAGTCAACAGGCTCTAGTAGCTTAGCTTCAATAACAACCCTATCCTAACATTATCAGTCTGGAAAATGCATTCCAAACCCCTAGGTACAATGTTCAATGACCTCCTGAAAACTCATTCATTTGGATTTAGGAACAGTTAACAGTAGAGACAGCAAGACTGGTCCCCACTCCCAGGAATGTTCATCTGTCTTTCAAGATGAGGAGACTGACTACTCTTAAACATACGTATCTCTAGTAACTACTGGACTATCTATATGTTCTTAGGAGTTACTCACCTTGTTCTCTGTCCTCATCACTGGCCATGGCTTCCCAATCATCCAATCCACCTTCCTCACTTTCTTCTTCTTCTTCTTCTATAAAGTTTTCATTTAAGACAGAGAAATCATTTAGAAATATTAAGTTGCTTTAATAAAATATTGGAATATTATGCTGATATAAGTTTTAATTATGCATGCAAAGTTATTATTTTGTAACTTTGTCAATATAGCTTACATGTTATAGCTTACTTTTACTAAACGCTTTACCATCTCCTACTATACTCTCAACATACCATACTAAACTTAACCCAGTTTCATACCTGAAATTAAAATAGTAGAATCCAGACACTGAAGGTTCCTTTAGATCTTAGAAAGGGTATATGAATGCATTCAGTTCATGAGGATAAATGAAATTTCATATCTTCTTTTTCAATTTTCAATTCACTTCATACACAGAATTTATTACTTATTCTGCTTTAACTTTTATAGATACATCCAAATGTTAAATTCCAAAGTTAAAGATATATAACTGACATTGTTACTTCACTCCAAAATAACAGAATGCCATGTTTATAATTCTCAAGTAAGCAGAAAGCTGTAACTTTTAATATGATTTGAATATTAAAGATTTTAATACCCTTTTTAACAATAATGGCTTTTTAGTGAAATCCAACCAAGCAAAACCATTAATAAAAAATAAAAAAAGAGAAGGATGAGGGTGTTTGCTTCCGTCTAATAGTGATTTACCAACAATTCTGGATAAGTAATTCTAAGGAGGAAATGGCATTCAGAAACATGTATTCAATACAGTCCTTTTAATTAGCAGTTCTTTCTGGTGTTATAAATATGAACTATAGTAGGGAACTGCTATTAAGTGTATCAACCTGAATTTCTCTAATTTCATCACATTAAGGCTAAGCTGAGCTCTACCCCAGTGATAAGACCCCGTTCATTTGAAACAGGAGGGGCAAAGGAAGGAAAGGAATTATCATCATTCACCCATGTGTCAGTCTTGATATTCTCTAAGGCTGTTTCTCAGTCCTGACCATGTCTTTAAATACTGGAGATTCTCTTGGAAAAACAACAACAACAACAAAAAAATACATTTTGCTAGCCCCTCCTTCTCTTATTAGTCTTCTGAATTTTAACTGTGCTTAACTCGGAAAAAAAAAAGCCAGACTATCCACAATGCCTCTCCCACTGAATGAGTAAGTTGTTCTTATTAATTTAGCAAATGGAAGCTAACTTCTAAGTTTTAAAATGCATATTTTTATGACTTTTTAAATGTTCTAATTAAAGATGTTTCCAATTTGTTTCAAAAGAATTAGGTGAAGAACTTCAGGCCTTCCTGAATTTCTAACCCATAAACAGAGAAAACCCAAAACCTTCTGGTCTCTGAAACATTTCACTAACACTACTGACCAGAACAAAACTGATTTAAGTTTCATTTGGATGTTTCCTCAAAGTAGAAAGAAATACTTAAGAACTGTTAGGCAATAAGGCCATTAGCTTGACATTTATTTGGCCTCGAAGTTAATGATATTAACTAAGACAACGTATGATACACCAATAGTACTTAGCAGGAACTAATTGACTAATTGCCTAAGGCTACTGGCCTGGTTCAACAGGAGGTGGTGTTTCTTCTTTCTCTGGCACACCTTGTTCCACAACTTCAACAGCTGTACTTAATTCCACTGCTTCAGACACTGAAAAGGTACAGGAACCAAGTTAGCAACAATTTTGCAATACACAATTCCAGTTAAGATATTCTGATCAGTACAGGATAGAAATCTATCATAAGAACATATTTTTTTATAAATTGAGAAAATCATATGTTGTAAAGGGAACTTTCTGCTCTTTCTTTTCAAGGAATAGAATATAAAATCACAGAAGACTGAGAAAGAAGTTAAGAACAGTTATTCATAGGCTAAGACCCAAATTTTTCAAGGTAAATTATATTCCTATTTTCACCTCTCATTTGAATCAGATGAGAATGACAATAAGAAGAAAACAAGGTGCAGTACAGGGAAGAAATTTCAAAATGCAGTTCTAGGTGGCCGGGTGTGGTGGCGCAGCCTGTAATCCCAGCACTCGGGAGGGTGAGGCAGGAGGATTGCTGTGAGTTCGAGACCAGCCTGGGCTACATAGTGAGTTCCAGGTCAGCATCACTACATAGTGAGACCCTGTTTCAAAAAACCAAAAAAAAAAAATGCAGCTCTAGGCCTAGGGATATAGTTCAGTGATAGAGTGCATGCTTAGCATTTGTGAGGCCTTGGGTTCCATTCCCAGCAACACACATACATGGGGTGGGGATTATGAATTTCTGATTTCTTGTAAAAAGTATTCTACTTTGAAAGTTGCAGAGGAAAGCCAAACAAAACAATTTCTAGAACTGGGGATTTAGTTCAGTGGTGCCACCGCCTGCATCATAAGCCCAAGGTCCTGACTTTGATCCCTGATACCCAAAATTAAAAACAACAAAACAAAAAAAACAGTTTCTAAGTGACACGCTTCTTATATACAAACCTTCTTTATTTTCTAGCTGCTGTGGTGTTTTTTTCTTCTTTTTGTCTTCATAAATTGGCCTTTTCTTTGGCAAAGAATCTTTTGATGGCACTTCAACACCTAAGGGATAATGAAAGGAAAACTTTAGGTTAAACTATTTGCATGTCACCTGAGAAACAGTATTTAAAAGGTAACCTTTCATTTACTTCAGAGACACTGTAAAGTAGGACATTCATACAAAAACCTATCTTTTTATATACAGTATTATAAGATTTATATGAAGTATACAACAGGAGTTTCAACAAATGCATGGAGCTATGAAATGACCACTACAATGAAGACACACAGAACAGTTATATCCCTGTGCTGTTACACACAAATTCTCAAATCCTCGGTCCCTGGATAACCAGTGATCTGTTCTCCACCCCTAAAGATGAGCTGTTTCCAAAATGTCAAACAAGTGGGATCTTTCAGGCTGGCTTCTGCTGTCATAACAGAGTTGAAGGTGATCCACTCTGCCACGTCTCAGTATCACCTTTAATCTTATCGTTGAGTAGGAAATCACAGTAATTACAGCCTGTTTATCCATTCAACAGCTGAAGGATTTGAGTGCTTTACTACTTGGGGATATTATGAATAAAAATATGAACAGTTTTACACAAATTTCTCCATGAACATTTCTCTTATGTATTTCCAAAAGAGAATGAAACCTAAGGTATTTAATTTTATATGAAACTGTCAGTTGTTTTTCAAAGTAGTCTTCCCATTTAATAAAGATGGGTTTTTATTTCTTTGGGTATCTGTTCTAATAGATGTGCAGCACTATTTCACTGAGAAATTCCCTTAACAATTAATGATGTTGGGCATTCTTTTCATGTATTTCTGGCTTCTTGGTGAAAATGGCTGTTTCAATACTTTGCCTGCTTTTACATGAAGTTTTTCTTACTGAATTTTGAGAGATCTTTATATATTCTGGATGTCATTAGAGTACTCTTTGAATTCTCTTACTAGTGTCTTTTGAGAAAAAAGTTTTAACACATTCACAATGGGGCTGTAGTTCGTATGTCTTGCTTCCAGGAAGCTTGAACTATCAGTGATATATGCATGACTGTCCCACTGGATGGCTTTTTATTAATTTTATTAGTAACAAAAAAAACAAAAAATAAACAAAGGGAGTAGATCCATTTATACCACCAGCTGCCTGGTGGGACAGTCACACACATACCACCTGTGGTTCAAACTGACAGGGAAACATGTTAAGCCAGACTTTCAAAATGTATTATTCTTCTCTTTTACAGATACTTTAAACTAAGCTGGATCCCTGGCCTTTTTTTTTTTGAGACTGAGTCTGTCACTAAGTTGTCCAAGCTGGGCTCACACTTGTGATCCTCTTGTTTCTGATCCTCACAGGGCTGGGATCAGAGCCATGTCCCATCACACCCAGCCCTTTACAGATGATGTTATCGTCACATCTAAGCACTCTTTCCTTAATACAATGCCATGCAGATTTTGTTCTGTATAAGCATATATATAAATTATTTTCAGTTGTTAATTACTAGCATAAAGAAATACAGCTGATACAGGCATTTAGCCTTGTATAATCTCAGTTTCTTACTAAACTCTTCTGAGGAAGGAGATTCCATGAGATTTACTATACAGATAATCATCACCAGGGAATAGAGAGCTTTACTGCTCTCTGATCTGTAAGTAGTTTATTAATTTACTTACCTAGCTTAACTGCACAAGTCAGGACATTTCAGCGCAATGTCAAATGAGGGTGGTGAAAGTAGACAACTTGCCTTAGTTATGCTAAAGTTTAACATTCAGTCTTTCATTGTGAAATATAATAATTATACTTTTATTATAGATTTCTTTTATCAGTGTAAGGAATTGCTAATATTCCATTTCTAAATTTTTATCATGTATAGGATGAATTTTGTCAATTTTTCTACATTTGAGATAATCCTGTAATTTTTTAGATTAATATGGTAAAATACATTTACTGATTTCCAAATACCGAATCTGCCTTGCATTACTAGGATAACACTCACTTGATCATGATAATTCTATATAAATATATACAGAGCCCACCAAAAAAATTTATATATACTTCAGCAGTACACCATACTAATAAATGTCTGGAAGCTACTAGTCATCATTTTGAGCACCTCTTGTAATTGTAAAAACCAAAGGTAACTTGTATTTATCTCATGTTGTCTCAATAAACTTAGTATTACAATATTTATACAAGTTTTTATTTTCCAGATGTATACATTTTTTTTTTGGTGGACTCTATATATACAGTGGTGCTTTGGTTCATGAACTTGATTCTTCCCATGATTCTGGTCCTCAACCGAGTTGGATAAGAACTGAATTAAATTAAATCGTTAGGTTCAATACTGACCTTATGGGAAATTTTGATTCAGTTCTCCTCCAGCTTGGTTTGAAACTAGAATTGTGGAAAGAATTGGGTTCATGAACAAAGAGAGACAGATAGACACAAACAGAGAAAAAGTGACGAGAGACTACCAAAAAAATGTATATACACTTCAGGAAAAGAAAAACTTGTATAAATAGTTTAATACTAAATTTACTGGGACAACATGAGATTAACACAAGTTATAATTGGCCTCTACAATTACAACAGGTACTTGAAGTGGTGGTCATTAGCTCCCAGACATTTATTATTTTTCTTTCCCTGAAGTGTGTATACATTTTTTTGGTGGACTCTAAAAATATAGAATCAAAACAGTAAAATTTAGCTGAGAGCTTCTGCGTGAACGTTTATAAGGAATGCTGGTCTATTTCTTCTTTTGAAATGTCTTCTTCCCCCTACAGTAGTAACGCTAATGCTGTCCTCATAAAACAAGTTGGGTATTTCTGAAAGATGCCTGTAAGTGGTTCTATTTCCTCCTCAAATATTTGTTGAAATTCCTTGGTGAAATCATGGAGGCTTCGAGTTTTCCTTCTTGGATATTAGACAAAAATTTAAGATACGTTTAAATTAAATAGATACAGATTTTAAAACTAGAGACAGAGGAGCCAGGATGTAGCTCAGTAGTAGCACACGCCTGCCTGGCAAGCACAAGGTCCTAAGTTTGATCCCGAATATAAAAAACAAACTAACTAACTAACTAAAGACAGAACTATTCTGGCTAAATGTGTGAGAGAAAGTCTGAGTAGTTTATGTTCTAAAAAATGACTATTTCATCTAAGCTTTGAATAGCAACATTGTATCACTATTTTAATATCTTAATGATACTTCCCATCTTCACTCCTGATACTGGCTTTTGAGTTCCTTTTTCCTTAGTCATTCTAGCTAATTATCAATTTTACAAATTATTTCAAAGAACTAGGTCTTAGTTTCACTGATTCTCTATTATTTTTGTTTTCTATTTCATTGCTTTTTGATCTTTATATTATTTTTTAAATTCTGCTTACTTTGTCTTTCAGATTAAGGCAGAAGGTTGGCCTACCGAGACCTTTCCTTTTTTCCTAAAATAAGTATTACTATAAGCTTCCTTCTATGCACTGTATCATCTGCATCCACAAATTTGGAGATGTTTTCATTCAATCAAAGGTGCTTTCTAATTTCCAATCAGACTCTCTCTTTGACTCACAACTTAATTAGAAGTGTGCTAATTTCCAAATATTTGTGGATTTTCTCCAGATAGGGAATTTAACATGACCCTATCTCAAAAAAAAATTTTTTAAAGGCGTAGGTATATAGCTCACTGCAAAGGCCCTCAGTTCAATCCTCAGTGCAAAAAAAAAAAAAAAAGTCCACCTTGGTGAATGTTTGATACGAACTTTAGGTTGGGTACATACACCACACACACACAGGTTTCTTAACTTCGAAAAACTGATAAAATATTTTTCTAAAGTAAAAGTCAGATTAATGTAACTGCTCCAACTTTCTTGTTAGCACTGTACATGTCTCTATCCTAATCTATACCATTCTGTTTAAAGCAGATTTCATAAGTTAGCACAAAGTTGTTTTCAATCAATCTGCCTTTAACTGCTATGTTCAAACTAGGTATATATAATTTAACAAATGCTTGAGTGCACAGGAGTGCACCACCACACCCCACTAGACTTTTATTAATGGACAATGGGAAACCAGTAAGATGCCAAACACTTGGCAACACTATAAATGAGAGTGATAAAGAGATCAGGGTAAGAGATGCCACTAGAGAAACCATCTCTTTCAACTGTGTACTAAAGACTGATGCTAAAATCATTTTAAATTATAATTTTCATCTAATTACCATAACTACGTGTCTACTCCTAAAGAGATTTCAAGACAGGCAAATCGTCCCATCCCAATTTCTTCATAAGTGCTTTTAGCCTTTTAGATAGTCACCGGTCATATTTGATGTTTAGGTGCTAATTATACTCAAATTTACTCTCTGATTTTCTTTTTTAAAAGCTAGCTCCCTGATGAAGAATATAAGTTTCTGAAATCTAATCAAACATGTAATGCATAATAAAGATTTAGTTACACAGACCAATTTAAATGCCAACTTTAGGATGCTGTTTAAGTTTTGCACCTTAGGAATGAAATATCTTGAGGTTTTTTTTAATGAAGGAAAAAGTACACCATATCAAAGATTTACAGTTAGAAACCAAGTACACAGTAAAGAGCTGATGTTATTGTAATTATAAGCCCCCAAATGACTAAGATATAAAAACCTGTGGAATATAAGAGGAACAGGAAATTAAAGGACAAATCAGTATATTGTTCTCAATGGAGGAAAGATACTATCTTAAATAGTCCTACCTATCAAAAATATAATTAATTACATGCCAAGACTGTGAACACTAAATACCACTAGCCTCTAAAGGGAACCAAGGCTCCCCGTGTAAACAGCTTCCAGATCTAAGGTAGAAAATGTACAAGATGAAGTTGGGATATCCTGATGAGTCAGAAAGAAAGGCAGAGGTCAAAGAACACTGTGGTTATATGCAAAAGTCACAGGAACCAACCCAACTGCCCTCCCACTAGCCAAAAATGGTACAATTTCAGTATCAAAAAACACAGAGATAGATCCTTTGCAAATGGGAAGGGGTCCAGGAGACGGAGGGCAAGCAGAGAGAGGGAAGGAAAAGGTTAAATAAGAAGAACTAAAACACACTATGCACAGGAACCTAATAACCTCAATAAATGCAAATGTTATGTCACAAACATAAGCTAAGAATAATTGCAAGAGGAATGAAAATAGGGAAGGGGGATTTAGTGGCAAAGGGAAGAGAAGTGAGAAGAAAGGGGAAGGGAATTAAAAAAAAGAAAAATTATTATGTACATGTACCTATTCCTCGAGCTGAGTGTAAGCTTCATATATTGCAAACATGTACTAATAAAACAGAATAAAAAATATAGTACATTAAAAAAGCATAATGGGTTCAAGAGATGAAACCACATTACATAAAACTCCTTTAAATTTACATAATACTCATACAACAAAAATAATAAGCTCATAATTAAGCCCTGGAAGGCTTACCTTCCAGGGGTACCAGAAAAAAATTGAAGCACATATCCTGGCATTCCTGTATGAAATGTGTTTCAGGGAAACTTTTTCTTTAGACAGCCTAGCTAATTAAATCCAGAAGAACTGAAAAAATTAGATTACCAATCTGAAATTCCTAGGGAACACTGAATATCAGATCTATACCAATGAGACAATAAACCTGATGGAAAGTCAGTGGGGAGCCAGTCATAATGATACATGCCTATAAGCCCAGCACTGTGAGGCTGAGACAGAAGAATCACAAGATCAAGCTCAGCCTGGCCAAGTTAAGAGATTTCACAAGACCCTGTCTCAAAATAACAAAAAAGGGATGGGAATATAGCTCAGTGTAAAGGCCCTTGGATCAATCCTCAGCACTTTTTTAAAAAAGGTAAGTCAATAAGGCATTTTGTAACAGACAAAGCTGCCAATCCACTGATCAATCTTGACATCACTATATTTCAGAGAAACAAATTAGATGTCTACTGGCATGAGCACTATAGGAAGCAATGATATGCTGGATCTAAGAAGTTATATGGGATAGAAAATATATTCACTAAAACCAGGAGAATATATTTAGACAAGTTCAGAATAAGAGAAAATCTAACGAATTATCCAATATTGTCAACAAATAAATGGCAAGCCAAAATGGAGGGTGAGTGAGAGAAAACCATATCAACCAAATGCAATTTGTGGATTTAACCTGGATTCAGATTTGGATTAAGTGACATTTGGAAGACAAAGGCAAAATACTAAACATGAAGAGAAAAATCAGATGATATCAAAAATTCTGTTAGATGTAAAAATATGTACTCTATTAATGAGGCAAAATGTCCATATTTGTTAGATACATACTTTATAAGTAACAAGTAACTATAGGTAAAAAAATAAACTGCTATCTGGAATTCACTTTCAAGTACTCCAGAAAACCGAGCAGAGGCAGCCAGGTATATGTAGCAAACACCTGTATCTCAGCAAGCAGAAAACTAAGGCAGAAGGATCATTAATTCATTCTAGGGAAGTCTGGTCTATGTAACGAGTTTGAGGCAGCCCTCATAAGTGGACCCTGTCTCAAAAATGACAACAACAAAAAGTGGCAGAGGAATAAAAAACAAAAATGGAAAATGTTGGTAAATGTTAAAACTGGTTGATAGATACTCATTTTCTTACCTCTACTTTTGTTGAAGCATTTATAAAAATATATTACTGGATTTACACATATATGGGGCAGAGCTTTGCAGTGTTAACCCGTGCCTTGACTTGGGTAATATTCCCAAGCTTCTGGGACTACAGGTGCACACCAAATACACCCAGCTCAAATAACATTTCTGTCCTAGAATGGAAATTATCTTCCTAAATAATGAAATTAGAATTACATCACCTGTTCCTTACATTTCCACCAGATCTTTTCACAGCACTTTCTTAGAACTCCCCCTTCCTTCCAACCCAATTTCATTATCCCTCTGAACACCATCTGTTTAGACGATGCAGAATACTGCTTACCCTGAGCTTGTAGAAGTTTAAGGGTAGCTTCAGCTCTGGCTCTGGCTTCTCTCTGGGATTTAGTTAAAAGTTTCCCTTCTTTTTTCAAGCGTTCTTTTCTTTCCTTTTCTTTTTGCTTTTTCCTTTCTCTTTTTTCTTGTTCCAATCGTTCCTTTGAAAGTAAATGCCAGATGAAAACATTAGCTTAAAGTAATACAAAATTTTAATGTAAACCACCCAAACCTTGGAGATATTCAAAATATGTCAGGAGATTCCAAATAAAATGCTTTTAATATTGTACATCATTATTAAACAGTATCAGTCAATTGGCAATAACACAAACTTTTTGTCTCTAGATGAGAAAATAAGGTAGGACTTTCTGTATATCCTCATTTATTTATACCAGAACAATAATGTACCTAAATTGTTATATGAACATGAATCTTTTAGCACTAGAAGATTACAGATATTTAACAGAATGGAGACTTTAAGGCCCAAGTATCAGCGCTGGCAGCTTCAAAAAAAACATACCTCTTCCTTCCGCTTGGCTTCTAACTCTTCCAGTCGTTTTATGCGTTCTTCCTCTTCTCTCTTTTGTCTTTCTTCTTCTTCTTTAAGCTTAGCCAGAGCTTCCTGCATAGCTTTAACAGTTGCTTTGCTAGGTCCTTTTTTCTTCTCTTTCTCTTTTTCTTCCCTATCTGTTTTCTTTTTCTTCTTATCTTTCTTCTTTTTATCTCCTTCATTGTCATCTAGCAAACAAAATAAAGGCAAAAATAATGTAAGTTCTTTCTTAAGTCTGAACTAAAGGACCAAAATGGAACAAACCTAATGCCATCGGTAGACTAGGTCTGTATGCACTGAAGCAACTTGAGCATTTAAGCATCTAGAAAAACCTCAGTATATTTAGCATACAGTTTTCCCACTGAGAAGTTTCAACGCTGGTGTTGACTTGTCCTGATGAATACAAATAGAAACAAAAAGTCAATGCTTTATCTCAGTATCTCTTAATCCATGGTACCAGGGCAATGTGGCTTGAAAATACTTACCTGAAATTCTAAAGTAGATAATGAACTATTTCTCATTCAAGTTTTGTAGTTTCACTTGGGAATGACAAGAATAATGTCTATGAGAACAAAATACATAAAAATAGTGGTACATATCGTGGTGCATCGCTGCAATACCAGCTGTTAGAGAGGCAGAGGCAAGAGGACAGCAGGTTTGAGGCTAGACTAGGAAACTCAGTGAGACCTTGTATCAAAATAAAATTAAAAAGGGATGGGGGTGCTGGGGATTTAGCACAGTGATTCCGCCCCCTGCCTCACAAGCACAAGGACCCCAGTTCGATTCCCAGTACCAAAAAAAAAAAAAAAAAAAAAGAAGAGGGCCC